CCACATTCAAAGTCTCCCATCAAGCAGCAGCTGTTTATTTCCTTCTGACTTGCTTGCGCAGGACATGCACAGGTGCATGGGGAGCTTGAGTGGCAGAGCATGAGCACATTGAGGCTTGGGTTGATTTCGGAGTAGGGAGTAGGATGAAGGGAAGCATGAGGGTCTGGAGGAAGTGTGACAAGGGTTGGGCAGGTTGCGTGGGAAAGCGAGGGAAGCATGGCTTTGGGCGGATCCTCAGGGACAAGTAGCAAGGGAGGTGCAGCAAGGGACGATTGGATCACATAAGTAGCAGGGGAGATGCGGCAAGGCTGAGGGTACAAAGGCGGCATAGCAAGGCTACAACATCAAGGACTAGTTGTAACCATCATTCATTCAGCACCATCATAACTTCAAACACTTCGCCCCAAGCTACTCAGAAGTTGCAGGAGCGAGTTAGGCAGCAAATAAATTTAATTAATAAATAAGTCGAGCTCTGCCTGTAGCAGTGACAGTCAATGTACATAATTTGTATGAATTAATTTAAAAAACTAAATTGCACAGAATTCTATTTCTCAGCTTTCCAATTCTGAGTATGCATTATTATAGCAGTTCTCATTAACAAAATAGTGGATAATACATATATAAGTTTGGTGTAAGAAGATCATTGTACTCTTATCAGCTACTGTTTTTTCAAAGCAAGATTCATTTGAAATTTCATCCGTGATAAATGCCTGTGCACACACGTCATCGCTCTTCTCTCAAATCAATAGAAATCCCAAGTGTTAATCCGTTTCAATTTTTCTACCTGCTATGCAAATGGAATAAAGCTCAGCTAGGTGTTCCAGCTGTTTTCTGTACGTCACTTTGTTGACATCAGCTGAGGCTACCGACTGGTTTTCAGTTTGAATATATACATTCCAACCAACATTAGATTTGGTGGGTGTGCCAGAATCCAGGGATAAACTTATAGAGGAAGACGTGTGATGCAATAATTTAGATCTGTAATACAAAAAGAGTAAATGGCCGCAGAATTAGCAATCATAAAAATACTAAAACATTACATTCTCTACTGTAACTGCTGGATTATTTCAGACATTTACCAGAAGTTTAAAAAATGTGAAGTCTTTAAGAAACTTATCTTAATACTTTTTACTGCTATTTCCTACAGTATTTGTAACAACAGCATGTTTATAAAATACTATGGACCAAATTTGAAAATAAATCCAGTTACTTATGAATCTAAAAAAACACTAAGGAGAATAGTTAGAACTTGCAAATTACATCTCTGTTAAATGTAATGGAGAAGTCATTTTAAACATATGTAAGATGTTCTACTTCTTTAAGAAATGGGTCTATGACAACTCACCGCAGCCAACTCACCATGGCCAATTCACTGCGGCCACCTCGCTGGAGAACAACTTGTCATGAGACAACTTGCCACAGAACAACAATTACACTAACACAGAAGAAAAGTGGAGTACAATCTTTAAAGAAAGGATGCCAAAGAAGGGACAAAACCAAAGTGAATGACAAAAATTATTTTAAATAATTAAATTGAATTGTTGAATTGTCCTGCAGTCAGTTGTCCTGTTGTGAGTTGGTCATTGCAAGTTGTCTCACAATGAGTTGGCTGTGACAGGTTGGCTGAGGCAAGTTGTCCCATTCCATTAAGAAATGCCTGAAATCACACTGTCAACCCATAACGTATCTCTCTCTCCCCTTGGGCGCCAGATCACAAATTCTATTACCTTTCTTTCTTCAACATCTCTCTTTCTTCCTGAAGGCTTCCCGTAATAGAAGTTAAATTCATTTCCTGAGAATCAGTAAGGTTCTCAGAACTTACTCCAGACTGAACTTGAGAGTTGCCAACAGGTGTAGAAGTGAAGCACATTTTGGGCTTGGACAGAGTTCTCTCAGTACTCACAGGAGTAGGATTTATTCTTCTTGATGGTTTGGTTTTGCTAAAACGAAAGAGAAAATCAGTTCAGGACAGTAAACCTTTCAATATTTAAGATAAAAGAAGATACCTGATAGTTCAAGCCAAGGTTCTAATAATACAATATTGTTTCCTAGTGACTAAGTGACTAATAAGCTTTTGAGGAATATGTAAATCAGATATATGTACAATAGCATTCTTCTTCTCTATTCTGAAGAAACTGAAACTAATAAATATACTGCTACTGATATTGGAAATAGAATCTATCCTCAATGAATAAGTTTGCTACATGTTATAGTAACAATTTCCCCCGTTTTGTTCTGTGATCTGTGAAGAAATACTTTTTATCTATTCCAAATCTACCATAATGCAACTTTATTGGTTGCATAGGATTCTAGTATTTTGTGGGAGGGGGAAAATGTTGTTTTCGGTATCAATTTTTTTCAATAGTATGCATTATTTTCTATAGTTTACTTGCATTCTTCCTTACTCATCTTTTTTTTCTACAATAAAAACCCCAAAGAACAATAAGATTTCATAACAGAAATTGTTGTAGCCTCTTGAAAGTTTCCATTCTTCATACAGATAATCCAAAACTATGATATTCTGCAGCCATCTACTGGCAACTGGTAAAATACTTTAATAAATGTAATGTATTTATTTTTTCAATAAATTAATACACTACTAACCAAAAGCTCAAGTTAAACTTTTCCCTTCAATATTTTTCCATGACCAGCTCGAGAGTCCGCAAGCCCAAATAACTCATGTCGTAACCTCTATACCAGTATTTATCAACCTTGACAACTTCAAGATGTGTAGACTTCAATTCCCAGTAATCTTGGCTTTCTGGGGTATACTGGGAACTGAGGTGGGCGTGGGTGAGGTGGGTGTTGCCAGCTCAGCATCACTTTTCCTGGGGGCACTTGTGGTGGCCAAGTGCCAAGACAGGACTTCCCCCAGACCCTCCCTTCCTCCCTCTCATTATAATCTCTGTCCTTCCTTTTCTTCTTTTTCTCTCCCTCTTCATTGTCCTTTGTTCTTCCTTCCCCTCTTTCCTTCTTTTTCTTTGTCTTTCCTCTTTCCCTTTCTCCTTTCCTGCCCCTTCTTGGATGCTCAAATGTAAAAGGGGAAATTTTCTTCTTTTGTTTTGTTTTATTTTTAGTTTGTTTTGCTAGCCCTCTGCCAGCAAAAATGGAGTTCCATTTTCGCTGGCAGAGGGTTGCATGAGGCCATTGCAGCAGAAAACAAAGCCCAGGTGGGCAGCACATGCTCCCTCCTCCGAGCTCCATTTTTGTTGCCAGAGGCACCGCGGACTAGTCCTTCACTTTTTCCAGGGCGGCACCGTGGGCCAGACCTAAGTGTCTTGACTTTGACACCCTTGCTTGAAACTTTGCTTCAGGACCCGCATTATCTTGCCATTCCAGAAGCAGGACGTTTCTTTTTCATTGGAATTACCAAGATTTAATAACTGAGACTTACTTTATTTTTCCAGCAGCACTCATGGGTGGAAACTCCTCCAAATCATGTAAGTTAAGCTGGTCAGATGGTGAAGAAGTGGAGACAAGATTCATTTCACTCGGTTTCTTCTGTCTCAATGAAGAAAATGAGGAGCTTTCACTTTTTACTTCATCATTTGTGTTTCTTCCTACATCATGTCCAATTGACCGACTAGAACCACTTGTACAATTGCTCCCTTTTCTTCTGCTTCGCCTTATTGGAGCAGCAACAAGAAAACTCCCCAAGTTTGTTTTCTGAGCAGATCGTCTCTCACTGCGAGAAAAAATAGGGCTCGAACCCACACTTGGGCTACTGCTGAGATCCGCATTTAAGAGATCACTACTGGAATTCAGTTCACTTGACCCATTAACAACTGAAGATCCATGCAATTCTGAAGCAGAAATACTGGTATTTGGAGACTGCAAGCCAGTAGGAACTCTATCAAAGAAAAGTTGTCCTCGACAGCTACTATTCTGGAACTTTTTTTCAGATCCGGTCCTTTGGTTCCTATAGCTACTAGAATTTCTCAAGTTCTTGGAATTTGGAATTTTAGCAGGAGTAGATGGTCCATGGGTCAATATCTGACTGGTCTGTTCCCTGAGGTAGTTCAGCAAAAAAGGAACAAAGTCTTTTTGAAGCAAATTAAGGGCAACGAGTTTGGGGTGAATTGGAGAATCCTGTACAAACAAATCATAATAAACATCAACTGATTTATTTTAATCTGAATTTTACTTCAGACATGTATGACTTTATCCATTATTTTACAAGAATAAGCTCAGTTATGAATTTCTATTATAAGCATACAAAGCAAAATGAAACCATTTCAAAATCAAATCTCTCAGGTAATCTAAAACCAGAAGTCAGAGACTTACCATAATTGATTAAATCATAATCATGTCTCCTCTCAAACACTTGCCAAATTAACAGACGGCAACAACATGTGATTATATATTGTTCTATCAATATACATTAAAAAAAAAATTGGCATCCAGCTGCCAACCTGGAAAAGCACCATCCCGTATACGTTTTTGGCCTGGACGGCCTCCTGCAGCACTCTGCTGGCCAAAATGCCACTGCTGTGCTCCGTTTTGGCTGCCAGAACCACTGTGGACCGGTCCTTTGCTATTTGCAGGCTGGCCCTGCAGGCCAGATTTAAGCACCCTATGGGCTGGATCCAGCCTGTGGGCCTTGAGTTTGACACTCCTGTGCTAGAGGATTTTAGTCTTGCTTTGCAACATGCAAGCTTCCTATTTGTTTCTTAAACATGGTTTTAATTTGGAGCAGAGTCTTTTAAGCATATAGGAAAGATGTCCAGTCCCTATAGGCCAGTGATGGTGAACTTTTTAGGCACCAAGTGCCCAAACTGCGTGCATGCGCATGCCCAAATTGAAAGGTATGTGTGCGAGCACAAACACATGCATGCGCTGACATGTGTGCATACGCAACAGAGACCCAAAAACCAGCTGGCTGGCGGGAGGCGGAGCATCCCAACACCGGCAGCGGGGTAAGAGGTAAGATCTTTTTCTTTTGTGAGCTTGTTTCGTCGTTTGCAGGGAAACAGAAGTTCATGAAATAAATGCCACAGAGATCTGACCTGGGGCGACGGCATGCGTGCCAGCAGAGAGAGCTCGGTGTGCCACCTCTGGCACACATGTCATAGGTTCAGCATCACAGCTATAGGTTTTATTTTGCGTATCTGGGTTTGCCCTTAGTTCCTTTTACTTCCACTTCCTTTAAGTTTTTTTATTGTTAATTTTAATAATAGGAGTTTAATAATTAAAATTAAACAACTAACTGGCACTTCTTTAGCATCTCTAAATCAAGAAATGGGATTAAAAATCTTATTAGCTCCCATGCACCCCCCAAAATACAAAGGCACTGAAGATAAAGACAATCTTTTGAATGACACTAAGAAAGCTTTAATCAGCAATGCACTACTTAATTACTGTAAGCACAAGAGATCCATTTTAAAATACCCTACACAATAACCAGTGTAATAAAAAGACACTCAAATATTTGTTCAAACAGCTGCTTATAAAGGCAGTATAATTTACTTTCCAATTACTGGGAGTTGCTGAACATTGATTTATTCACTGGTTATAGGACTTTAGCACAGTTAGGCTGGAATGTTGCTTTAAACTGACCAAGCAAGACACATACATTGCATGTGTGTGTAGAGACCAAGTAAGTACTCATGTCCAACATTAGTTTTCTAGAGAGTGAACTAGTACAAAGGCTTCTTTATGCTTAGTTGAGAAATTCTACAGTTCTTCCAGCTATACATTTTCATACCTAAGGAGAAATGCTTATGGACTCTATGCCATCTCCTGATGATTTAAATAGCATATTAAAATTGATCCTTGATCAGTAAATCCTACATTATATTTAACACTGGCTCTAGCCAAGCTAGATTGATGTGATGGCTTCTGCTATTTGACTTAAAGCAGTTTATCTTTCTTTTTTTTTCTTTTTTTGTTGCAGGTGCCAAAGTAACTTGATTGGCTTTGGATACAATGTTACTTGACTCCCATAGGAAAAGACAATCCCGTTGCTTTCTCTCTTTCAGGTAATCCAAGATTTAAGCATGTTTTGATTTGCCACCCTACAGGCAAAAACTTTTGTTTTTGTAAAGAACTCATTCCCACATGCGCAAAAGACAGTAGACGCATATGAAATACGGTTTTCGTAACATCCGCAATTCTGGGCGCATTTGCTGGGGAATAAGTTTCCTCTGACTTTTCCCACCTTATTTCAAGGGGGAAATGTAACCCCCACCCCAGGAATGGGTTGCAAACCTCGGCCAAGGCTTGACCTGCAAGCGGACAGATCAGTGAAATTGGGGAAGGAGTGCACGGGATATTGGGGTCAGGATTACGCAGTCGTCTCCACCTCCAAATGATAAAGAGGCCATTCGCACACACCCTGGAGGCCCCAAAAGCGCCCTGCTCCGTAGCCTCCAGGGCCGCGCAGGAGGAGCACCTAAGCAGGCAACGCGCGGCAGCTAGTCCTGCTTTTTCCCCGCCTCCTTTTCGGTGCTTTTGACGGCGAGGAGAAACTTCACCGCCCCCGCCAATTTCCCGCCCTGCGGAGGGCTAACTTAAAAGAAGCGCCGCTGTCGCCGAAGCGGGCTGCGCGTTTTACCTCTTCGGCGCAGCTCTGGCTTGACTTCAGCCACCGCACCACCGCGCCGGCTGCCACCTCGTCCCGCAAGAGCAGCTCCAAAGCGGCCGCCATCCCCCGCCGCCCTTGGAACCAGAGGCGCCGCTTTTGCAGCCTTTGGGGGCAGGGGCGCAAACACGCTTCGCTGCAGCCCCCCTCCCTCCTCCGAAGCAGCAGCGGGAGACAGGGAGGAGAAGGGAAAAAAAGAAGGGGCGGGGTCTAGTTTCCTTCTAACTCCGGGTTACTGCTCAGCACGTGAGGAGCGCGCGTGGGGGGGGGGAGAGGTGGATGGGACGCCGGACGCGCGCTGGGTTGAGAGGCCGCCACCTCCACCCCCACCCCTGCGGGAAGGCGGGATCACAACTCTCAGGGGGAGCGGAAAAAAAAGCGCGCGCGCCCCAGAAGCTGAAAGGCACGATGGGGGCGTGGCCAGAACCCTCCGGCTCCGGGCAAGGGGCGGGCAATGAAACGCACCGACGAGTGGAGGAGTCGAAGCCATTTCCCGGCAAAGGTCCCCATTGGGAGGCGCCGAAGCTTTGGAAGTTGGGGATTGGCGGGTCTCGCAGCGGGGCGGGCTCAAAGGAGGTCCGCGGCAGCAGGGTTGCCTCCCCCCCTCCCCTCCCATGTCAACAAGCGGGGCGCCTGCGCCGGGGGTTTGCGCGTCTTTTCCTCTCATGCGCGGTATTTGCTGTCCGAGCGAGGCCCCGGGTTTGGCCTAGAGCCGGTGGCGCGGCGGTGGCGGCGGCACAATAAAAAGCGGCCGGCCTTCCCCGTCGCGGACTCTCGGAGCGGCAGCCCCCTCTCTCTTCCCCACTGGAGCTTTAGGATGGCGGAAGACTCGCCCAAGCGGCGCAAGGCCAATTTCAACGAGGCGGAGACGGAGGTGCTGATCGAGCAGGTGTTGAAACACGAGCAGGTGCTATTCGCGGCCGGGCCGGGCCGGGCCTCCCCGGGGCAAAAGCGCAAAGTCTGGGAGCTCATCCGGCATAAAGTGAACCCGGTGGCCGCTTGCCCTCGCGAGGTGGAGGACCTCAAAAAGCGCTGGCGGGACCTGAAGCGCCGCGATCGGAGCAAGCTCTGCCGCGTCACCCACGGCGCCGGCGGGGTCGCCCCGCACCCGGCCTCCTTCGGCCTCCTGATGGGCAACGAGGACGCCTCGCCGCCCGACCACCTCCGATCCTACACCTCGGGGGGGCTGCCTGCCCCCAACGAGGCTCTGCCCATCGTCGGGGGCATCGACACACTGGATCTGCCCAGAGCCTCCTCCGTGTCGGATATGGGTGAGTTGCAAAGGAGCCGGACCGCAGCCTCTTCCCTTGTCCGACGCGGCTGCCTCTCTCCCCCGCCCCCGCCTCGCCGCCCTTCCCTTCGCGGGCAACAATAGTCCCCCGTTGATTCGGGGGCTTTTTCCCCCCGTGGAGCGGAACCGTGAAGAGCTCTTGGCCATCCCTTTTAAGTCTTGGTGCAGCCCGCAGTTTCTCTTCTCGATACGCCCAGAAGAAAAGATGCTGGATGCCGCTTGGATAAGAACTGGCCTCCGATTACTGCAGCGGTTGGCGTTGCGTTGAATTTATGCGGCTAAAGTTCCCTTGTGGGTCAAGAACATATTGTGGAAGTGGCTCCTTTGGGTTAATGAACTTGTTTCAAGGCTGATGCTATAAATATTCCTTTAGCAGATAGGAACATTATCGGAATGCAAAAAAAATGCCTCCTGCCAATTCAGTTAGATTGATGGGAGCTCTTTCCAAGGTAGTTAAGGCTTCTCATGTAATACCTGGAGATGAAACAGTGTGGACGGCTCTGGTTTTGTTTTTACTGCTGAGCTCTCTAAAACGAAGTAGAAAATACCAGAAAGTTAAAATGGGATAGCTTGCATTTCTCACTTGCTATAGCAGAAATATATTCTTTGTAAACACTGAAACTTTAGATAGGTTATGGAATTCCAACTGCTAAAGTTTTGAAAATAGCCCAATGGATAGATGCAGAACAAGGGGCAGAGCCAATTGTTAGAATATTAGAAACCAGAAGATTCCTGCTTGCTTAGGTTTAGAATGAAAAGTTTCAAAGACAATTGCCAATGTCCCTTCCCTTCTTTCAGGAAACATTGCTAGGTTGAAGCAGGCAGAGTTCAGCATCTTTTGGTATGGTTTTAGATGATTTGCAGTGGATAAACTTAAGGATTTTTGACTCCCCATTATTTAAAACACTGTACATCTCTCCCACCCCAAGAAAATTATTTCACTGAAATATATAGTTGAAATTAATTCAGAATAGATATTTTTTATAGAAGGATAATGAGTATTCATTCATCAAATCAAACTTTTAGATTGAGTTTGTTTAGTTTGTAATAATGTTTCTTCTGCACTAGGCTCCCCTTCTAATTCTATTTTTTTTAAAAATCTATGGTCTGAAATCTTTTCTTACACTGAACATCAATTGTACAGGTAGTCCTCGGCTTAAAATCACAATTGAGCCCAACATTTCCATTGCTAAGCAAGACAGTTGTTAAATGAATTTTGCCCCATTTTACGGCCTTTCTTGCCACAGTTATTAAGTAAATCACTGCAGTTGTTAAGTTAGTAACATGACTGTTAAGTGAATCTGGTTTCCCCATTGAGTTTGCTTGTCAGAAGGTCGTAAGATGTTATAACATAACCCTGGGATACTGCAACCATCATAAATGCATGCCAGTTGCCAAGCATCCAAAATTTGATCACGTGACTATGGGGATGCTACAACAGTGGTAAGGGTGAAAAAGTCACTTTTTTCAATGTGTTGTAACTTCAGTCACTAAACAAATGGTTGTAAACGTATACTGATCTGGAATATCTAAGGGTCTGTTAGTATATCTTCCAGACTTTGTTCCCCTATATATACGGCTTCATATTTTAAAGTAGAAATGGTGGTGGCAGTGCCGCCAGTAAAGATAACATCTTTGCTCTACTTTCCTATGTATTGCTTATGAGCTATTAATAACCCTGCAAGATTTAATCAATGGGGCAATCAGTGAGAGATGTTGAATGAGATATACTGTACTCTGAATTATTCTACAGAGAACAAAATTTGGTTGCTTACATCTGTGTTGTTCTGCAACAATGCTGTGTTTAAAAACACTTTTTTCCCAACACCTAATAGATGCATTCATACATCACTTTTGGCACAGCTATAGTAGGTGGTTTATAGAAGCACATTACATCAAAATCCACATTCTGGCTTAGTGCAGCATCTTTTTGCATAATCATTGATTTTTGAAAAACAATGCCCTCCAGTCAGTGTTGAGTTCTGGCAACCACCTAGACAAATCCTTGCAGTTTTCTTGGCAGGGTTTCAGAAATGGTTTGTCATTGCCTCCCAAGACTGAGAGTGAATGTTACTAGCCAGCGTTGTACCTAAGGCAGGACTTGAACTCGCACTCACCTGGTTTCTAGCCTGACTTCATTTCTATACCACTTTGCATCTTTGGCATAATACTGTGTAGGTTCTTCATTTAAGCCAGGGAAATAGCATAGCTTGTACAACATTTTTTTTTTTAAGAGAGGAAATTTTGAGCCCAATTTTTAATGCATGAAGTCCAAACCATCCTATTAGTTTTTAAATTTAATTAGCTTTCAAAAATAAAATTAATTAAATTAAATATTTGCATTTTAAGACATAAAAAACCCTTTTCAATAATGAAGAAATTCTTCATCTGTACATAAACAAAATATGTAAACAAGATCTTTATGCATTTTAACATATAAACACTTGGAAGTGCTCTTCTCATAACATTTTTTTCATTTCCTGGAAGAGATGAAAGTACAGTAAATAACACAAGTAGATATTTTATATAATACAGTATATTTACTTTTAATTTTTCCCTGTACTCTTGTCAATTAAATTGTGTTGTGTTTTAAAAATAGTGTTCTCTCTGCTATTATTCAATTTACAATTGATCTTTTCATTAATATATGTTCAGTTGCTGGTTGAAAATAGCACTACAGTTGTAAGTAATAATATCCAGCAAAAACTACATCATTTCAGAATGATTGTAGTCACTTTTTATTTGTTGGTCATACCCAGGCTTAATAGTTAAGAATTCCATTCATAAGGAGATTAATGTTTTACTTTACTTTTAGGTTTTACAGATGATCCTGGTACATCCCAACAATCGTGTGTGGAGAAAATAAATCTAAAAGAAGAAATAGTGGTGAAAGTAGTGGAACCAGAAGAAAGCTCAGAAGATATGGCAGTTGTTCCTCCCAGTCAGGAGCAGCTCCCTTTTTTGGGGATACCGAACGGAGGCCCTTGCGGAAAAGTAAAAGCCAAAACGAAAACTCAACCCCAGACAGACTCTAATGAAATTACAGAAGATGATCTCTTACAGATCCAACAGAATCAACTGCATATCATTCAATCTGGGTTCCACTACTTT